CCCCAATAACGTGATATTTAGCCCCTAAAATGCTAATTTTACCAGGGAAACCCCACCAAAAATGTGTATTTTACCCCACCGGAATGCTATTTTTACCAGGGGATCCCCCTCAAAACGCGATTGGGCTAGTTTTGAGTAGCAATTGGGCGAGCTTTGTTGTGAAAACCTGGCAACCCTGATTAAAAGTGAGTGAAAGAACTGAGGAAAAACATATCAAAAAGTGATTGGTGGACTGTGAGCTATAAGACTGAGTAGTTGTCTGAGAAAAGAGAATGCATTACTTTGCTGTTTTGTCCTGAATGTCCTTTTTCATGCTGGTTAACTGAGATCGGGTGGTCTCCACATCTGTGGCTGTTCGGTCTAAAGTTCCCTTCAGCACTTCCACCTGAGAGGAAAACACCACATTCGATTAGTTTAACCAAATTCATAAAAACATTTACATTTGATTAACACGAAAAAAACAACAACACACATATCATGTACTGTACCATGGTACACTGATGGAATCATATGATAATGCCATGGTACTTTTATAATTTCCATAATAAACATATTCATCTACTGTGGTATTTACATGGTACCCCAAGGTCTTTGAAGAACAAAAAACGGTAATTGTATCATGGTACCATAACAGCCTTGGCAGAATGATAAAGACTGGTACACTTTTCATCATGATGGACTTTGATTGGTTTCTGGGTCATCGTGGGGTTAAGGATAGAGGAGCAATGAACTGTGGATGCACATTTTAGGAGATGAGAAACACCCCAGTGTCGGGAAGCTCTGGTAGACTCACCTCATCCTGCAGACGCCTTTGGCTCCTCTCCTCTTCCTGATGCTGCTGTCTGAGTCGAAGCGCCTGACGTTCAGCCGCACTTATATTCCTCTCCAGCTCTTTATTGTTCTCTATCTCACGGTCCATGAAGTCCTTCCTCTCCTTGAGCAAATAATTCTTCTCTCTTATTACTTGGTTCATCTCTGCCTGCATCTAGAATACCAAGTGATTCACATTCAAAGTAAAATAAACTGTCTTCTGAATTAAATTGTTGATACAGATTTAGATAGTTATGCATCTTATGAAAAAA